TTTAGTTTCCACTTTTTCTGAATCATCACGACTTACAGAGCTCAGGAAACAGGCAAAATAGCGCTCTCTGTTCTGAGGCTAAACTACAATGCCTCTACGCAATTCTTTTGGACTTTCTATGAAAAGACTGACAGACCAAATACAGGAAATTCTCACTTACTTTGAACTTGGTGACACTGATTTGTTTAAATAGCTTAATGATATTTTTTTTTTTTGGAGGGTGGGGGGGGCAGGAGGGAGGGAGTGGTGAGCAGCATAAGAATATATAACCAGTGAGAACCAGAATTTACAGGGTTCTGTGAAGACAGTATTTCAAGGAAGCCATATAATTATGTTAAATGTAGAAGTAATGCATTTGAAGAGTAAATTGAGTGAGACAGACCTTCCATTAGCATCATGTTAGAATCCTATGTTTTAAGTCTGTGTAAAAATAGATAGTTAAAAGGCAAATAAAATGCAATGTCAGAGACTTAAGTGATGTGGATAATGTGAACCCGTGATGTTATTGTCTGCAGAGTGCAGGTGATGAGGTGAGGCAGAAATGTGGAAAATAAAGTAAGCCTAACACAGAACAGTCATCAGGAAGTATTTTAGCATGAAATAGCCTATTTCTTATTTGCTGAGATTTCAAGGCTGATGAAAGCATGAAGGAGTGGGGGAGAAATGTCTGGTGTTGTGTGTGTCATTGTGTCTCTCTCCCTCCCTTCCCCCCTTCTTCCCTGCTGAGAACGCATGCTTAATTTTCTGGATCCTTTTATATTGTTTTGTTTGCAATGCAAAATATTAAAGTCACAATTACAATGGCTAGCTTTTAAGTCATACATTATGTACATTAAAAAGTATTTTTTAAAGTAAGAAAATATTTAGAGAAGTGGATAAGCATCTGTTTTTTCTAGTACTATTAAGCTGTTTTGGTTTTTAAAACTCAAAATAACCTTTTCTGGGAAAATGCATGTTGTAGGTCTGCAGCCTGTCCCCGACCACACTGAATGAATCTGGGTGGCTTTTTATCTCAGAGAAGTTTTTAGGGGGGATATAAAGTTCATGAGTTATATTGGAGCTCCTCTGTGCTTGCTACTGCATCATCTGCAGCTTCTGGGCCTCTATCAAGGGGGCGGCTTGGTCTCTTTAGTTGTAGATATACTGTTTATGTCTATAGAGCTCTCTCATCTTCCCCATAATATATGAGATTCTTATGTTTCTTCTTGATTCCATTTATCTTTCTCTCCACACCTTGCAATATGGTGCATAAAGGTTATGCTGTAGTTCAGCAAAACCATCCTTGAAATTTTGTGTGGAAAAAGGAGTGCTTTAGAGTAATAATTCTGCCTCCCCCCCCCCCCCCCCCCCGATTAAAATAGCAATACAAGATCAATTTTGTTTTTCAAGATAGAATCATCTATATCTCACCTGCCCACTCTAAGTTCATCTAGAATGGCTCAGTGTCATCAGGTTCTACAGGAACATGGGAAAAGGAGTCTCCTCTCTTTTTCTCTTAGGCAGTAGATAATGATCTGTCTGGCAACCGGTGAGGCCCTGAGGCTGATGCTGCATCTTCATGTCTCCAATTACTGATGTGTTGAGATACATAGTAAATCTTCCTGAAGCTAAGAAGCATCTGTGTATAAGCAATGAAGAGTAGAAAATGATGTGTGTGTCTTTCTCCCCTCTTTCATAAAGCAATGGTTTATGGCTTCTACTGTGTCAGAGACTTTTCACGGCCAGAATGGAAGGCTCAAGGTTTATCCTTAAGATGTATACCCTTCCAAAAAGCATACTTTCATCTGCTTACCTTTTTCCAAGGTGTTTGCAAGAAAGCCGGTCTGTATAATTCAGGTTGTAGAAGGCAATGAATTGCAAGTAAAAATAGAGATAAACTGTAAGAATTTTGGTAAATCAGGATTTTCAGCTTTTGGTCTGTGAGCTATCTTTAGTAGCCCATGAAAATAAGAAAACCAAGCATATGGTCAGTGTGCTTGCACTTTGTACATAGAGGTTTCCATCTTGATTAGAGTATTTTTAGGATGAAAATAAAAATAATAATTGAAAATGTTGTGGAGGTAACAATGCTTCTTTGGTTGTTGTTGGTCTCTCTTCCCGTCTTTGAGAATTTTCACAGGCATACGAAAGTTACAATGTTAAACCAGTATGTGAACGTTATTATTAAAGGAGAAGTCCAGGGAGAAGTTAACTTCCCTTTGGATGAGGGGTGATGATTCCCTTTTTCAGTGGGGCCCAATGGTAAGCACTGGGGTGCTAAGCAAGATAAGTGTTCTCTCTTTTGAGATGAGAACTTCTCAAAACTTCACACAATTAGAGAAATGACAGACCACAACTAATAAACTCTAAAAGGCAAAACAAGTACCTAAAAATACATATCAGAGACATAAACAAAAAGCTAAGTAGGTTAAGTGATTCAAAAGAAGAAGCATAAATTACTTATCAGACTGTGGTAAGGGAGAGGAAAAACAATATTGATATGTTGTAAGGGTATCCTATACCTACATTCTGGACGACCAACAAATCTCTACCAACCACCATCACCTAGCCATGTATCAGGGCTGTTGTGTCTAAAAATACTTGACTGTATTTATCTTAAATTGACATTGACAGTTTATGCTAGCAATCTTAGCTTTTAACCAGGCCAGAAATTTTTTTTTTTTTTTTTTTTTTTTTTTTTTTTTTTTTTTTTTGTGGGGGGAGAACTGTATCAGTCTAGAAGACAGTTGCTTTTGCTTGGGATCTGCCATGAACCAGTGGAAGAAAAACGATCTTCAGCTCTGCTCTCATGTGAGATCTTCTTTGAAGGAGCTATTCAGGAAACCAGAAGTATACAAGGATGAATTTCTCACAGTGCATTATTATTTGTCCAGAGGATGGCTGACACCTGAAAATTAGGATAAGCAATTGCATTGCCCCCAGTCACCATGACGAGATATGATTTTTATTGATCAATGCACTGAAGTTGAGATGGCAGAAAAGCTGTACCAGTTTTTTGTATCTGTCTTCCTACATAGTTAAAAACTAAATTTTCTCATTGAAGTAGGTATGCTTGCTTTGCTTTATGCATAGCCTAGTTGTTTGTAAATGGCAAAAAGTGGTAATGTTTTATGACAGAATTAGTGGTCTTGTTAATATAGTTTATATGGAACAATGTTACGTTAGCTTGTTTGATCCTTTTTGCCAAGGGCAATGTTTACATTGAAAATAAATACTTTTAATGGAGCAGCCTGGGTGCAGTACAGTATTCAGTGTTTCCAAATTGTCAATGTTGAATAGATACCAAACCCTTACATTTCTGACCAGCACCCACAGTAGCACTGTCATCAACATTTCAATGTAGTGTAGTTCTATGCCTTCCACTTCTGAATCTTGTGATTCTTGACACAAGACTCTTGTGACCTCTTGGGAAGGACGTGAAAATTCACAAGAATGACCACTGTTGTGTAATAGTAGTTGAAACAGGTTGAACTAGTAGAAACATCTCAGGCAATTCAGATGCATACTGCTAAATTAAATGAAACAAAAATGTTTTAGATTATGCTGGCTGTTAAACTTGATGAAGATATATCATATATCAAGCTGTTACTAGAATTCACATAAGCCATGTGGTATATGATTGTGTGGGATAATGAGGGGTCAGTGGAGAACTTGGCATGCTTCTTGTTTGCTGACATCATTAGTATCCATAATGTTTTATTCTAATGTTGTTGGTGAGGCTTTAATATACAAGACTTTATTAATAAATATTACATCAAATCATCCTTCTGCCTGCCCTTGCATCAACACTTTTTTCACAGCAAATGTAGAACAGATGTTTTAAAACATTGGGAAATAATGTATCTATAGATAATGAGGATGCCTTGAGGGTGTGGTTAAAGATTAACAGATCTGACTGAATCCAACTACTGATCTTCCTCTAGTTAACTTTGAAATAAGTGGCAGTAGATCTGGTTAATGACCACCAGTTTAATACCACAAATTTAATGAAATCGTCAGATTTGTTTAAAAAAATATCAGTGGACCTACACAATCCTAAATTCCTATTGTATATTTTATATTTATGTTATGTAAAGTTAATAAATTTACTTGAATGTTGGTAAATGTATAATGATAGTATTGTAGAATTTTAAAACGGAGCATTGGTCCATATCTATGGTTAATTAAATTACAGGGGTAGGTCTATCAAAGTAATAATATGATATCCATAGGAAAAGAAAGAAAATTATATTTCACAAGCACTCCTTTTCTAAATGAAAACCTAGATTATTGTCATGCAACCTTTTCCTGAGAAGCATATTAACAAGTATTGGTGAGCTAGTACTTAACTGAACAAACAATACGGTGTTGTAATAGGTTATAATTGTTTAGAAGGAAATATTCACTCCAATTACCTTCGTTTTATTGTTAATTCTTAGTAAAACATGTTTTTACTGGTTACAGCCAAACTATTAGAAGCACTGTTTCCTTCAACTTTTTTCCTATCCAAACCCCTCTTTTTAAATCCAAACAAAAATTAAAACCCCTGCCTATTTCCTTGTTTTGTCTTCATTAATCTATTACTATTAAAGAATGTACAAAACTGCTGAATTGCTACTTTTATACTTTTGAAAATGTAATATCTCAGTTTGAGTAGTTCTTAATGTCAACATCTATTTTCTTCTTTATATATTTCCACATGTCAGTCATTTAAGTCCATTAACATATCAACTAAGTTTTTGAGCCTGTGTTGTTTATTGCAACATAAAGCTTGTTAAACTCAGTTAAAATGTCAAGATATTTTCTAGCAAGAAAGGAACGAGCAGGTTTTTTCTCTGAATGAAATCAGTTTGAAAATACATTTTTAACTAGTCATCCTAAACACAAAATATATAGTAAATTTTATTTTTAAAGTAATTACTCTAGGAAGCAGGTTACTTTATTTTCTGAAATATGCTGATTACTTGCAAACTTATTTTTCCAGATGAAAATTTACTTAATTTGATAATATCTTTTTTCAGGTCTCTGACTTTGGAGGAACAACAGATTTTTGCCTACTGGAAGAATGCAGTGAAACTGCCAATATTTCTAGCTGGAATTATAAATTTAATATTCAACTTTAGTGTTACAAGTTTCTTACTAAATAGTACCTCAAAGTAGAAGAAAAATGTATGGAAGTGCAAGAACAATCAGCAACTTAGAAGGAAGTCCCTCCAGGTCTCCTCGTTTGCCAAGATCTCCTCGCCTGGGCCATAGGCGAACAAATAGTGGGGGAGGAGGAGGTACAGGTAAGACGTTATCAATGGAGAACATCCAGTCCCTTAATGCAGCCTATGCAACATCTGGACCAATGTATCTGAGTGACCATGAAGGTGTAGCTTCTACTACATTCCCAAAGGGCACAATGACTCTTGGAAGGGCTACAAATCGAGCTGTGTATGGTGGTCGAGTCACAGCTATGGGGAGCAGTCCTAATATTGCTTCAGCTGGACTTTCACACACAGATGTCCTTTCTTATACTGATCAACATGGAGGTCTGACCACATCTTCACACCATCACCACCATCAGGTTCCTTCTATGCTGAGGCAGGTTAGAGATAGTACCATGTTAGACCTGCAGGCTCAGCTTAAGGAACTACAGAGAGAGAATGATCTTCTCAGAAAAGAACTAGACATTAAGGACAGCAAGCTGGGATCCTCCATGAATAGCATCAAAACCTTCTGGAGTCCTGAGCTAAAGAAAGAAAGAGTTTTGAGGAAAGAAGAAGCAGCCAGAATGTCAGTTCTTAAAGAACAAATGAGAGTTTCCCATGAAGAAAATCAGGTAAGTAATTCTGCAAGTTTCTTTCTGTTGATTTACAGCTTGATGTTTTGCTTATGGTACTGTATCCTGTGCTGGAACAAGTTTGACACACAAGAATTGTATGTATTGGTCTATCTGCTTCTGGCTGCTAAACAGTAGGAAAGCACATTAATAGGAATTTGAATGCAGGTTATAATTTCCTTCGTGCAGCATTCTTTCACATTATAGCTGAAGGAAATGACTGTCACTACTCTTTTTCTTATTTTTGAGACTTTTTCTAGTGCTTTTCTGCAGCAACAATCTAAATATACTTAGCAACCTTTTCTAAAGAGGTGAATGAGCTATCTCTGCAAAAGTACAAATAAACATCCAGAAGCATTTTTTTTTTTTTTTTTTTTGCATGAGCTGTACAGGGATTTAGCTTTTTCAAGTTAATGATATTGAATCCCCTCTGCAACCTTCTGTAATTCTAAGTTACAGAATGAAGTCGAAGTTGTGTTTTCAGCAAGGTTTCAGAGAACTGTGTCTTAGTACCTTGTAAATATGTGTTTCAAATATTTCTATTTACAACATCACATTCTTTTCCTAAAGTTATAAAAATATTACAGTATTTTAATCTGGATGAATAAAGCTATAAGGTCAAGCTTTGAGACTCTATGCTATTTCACAAAGCTGTACAAAACAGTGACACAGAATAGATCAATACATTCTTGTACTTCTGTCTCCACACACTTTTTGGCTGCTGGTCTTATTTTAAAGCTGCTCCTTTTTAGACCATCTGTTAAATTTCCCCAGACAAAAACACAATCCTGTGTTTTTCTCACTTCCAGATTCCCGATCTAAACTTCTTTGCTGGCAGGCATCAACAACCAAAATTTTTAATTTACTCTGAGTTTGTGAACATCAGTGCTTCTTGCCAAACTTTTTACTTCTCAGGCATGTCATGAACCTAATTATGGAGTTAAAAAGCTTGACATCAGTTACTTCAGTGGGAAACTGACTGGGTTGTGATCTGGAATTCAGTAGAGTGAATTAATTTATTATTTTCTTGTATAACTTGTGTATCCAGAATGACAGTAATAGTTACTGGATATTTATTCATAGTAGGTGCACTAGGATGCTGCTAGAACCAATATTATCAAAAACATGTTTGGTGGAGGCTCTGCTATTCAAAAGCTTTATTGGTCACATTTTAATTGTGATAGTTCATGTCACCTTAGCAGTAGGAGGAATATTTTAATACACTCTGTTTTGGTAGCCTTTCTTATGGCAATGTCACATTAATATCTTGTATTGGCATTTGAATCTGGTATTTAGAGACTCCATAACCACTTCAGCAGATTTGGTTTTTTGTTTGTTTGTTTGTTTGTTTGTTTTTTTCTAAAAGGTATTTCTTCATCTTGAGGGGAAACTAAATTAGTAACTGTTATGAGTCTATTTCATTCATCTCATTAAAGATTGTATCTTTTTATTTTTAACAAGTGCTCTTATTTTCTTGTAAGGGTGAACCTAACAAAAGAAAAAGAAAAAAATATTTTACCATATTTATATATTTAACACGAATCCTTACTCTATAATAAAATAACATAAAGACTAGGTAGCTCAGTATTCCAATGCTAACAATGTCCAGAAGTTCATAGGATAGACCTAGTATACAGTGATCTCCGCTGAGTACTCTTTATAATCCAGCTACAGTTTCTGCATGCTTAATAACTCTCAGTAGAATTTTACTTGAATTACGCCAGTTGATTTCAGACCTATGTAAAATTCTAGTGCCCACAACCTCTTATGACAGTGAACCCCACAGCTTAACATGTCATGTGAAGAACCACTGCTTTTCATTCGTTTTTGCACAAGTCTTCGGCTGCTTTTTCTAGGATTTCATCTGCCAGTCCTTGCCTATTTGCTTAGTCTTATAAAATCCTTCTTTGCATTTGGCTTTTGTTTTTACTGCCCTGTGTAACGTAATATCATGAGGAAAATTAGTCATCTTACTGTTCACTCTGTTCTCTGGGTTGCTTGGGATATGTCGGCACAAAGTGAAGCCACAGGTTCCAGCAAAACTCTGCAGGGGCCTTCTGTTGGTTTTATGACTTGACCATATGTTTCTGCTATTTCCTTTCATGTAATCAAATATTTATGTATGAAGGGACCATCCCTCATATCTAATTGCTCCTTAGTTTTGTTGTAAGCATTTGGAGAGGAGCCTTCCTGAAGGAGTGGCTTTGGAAATCCAAGATGGCTGTGTCAGTTCATTTGTCAGTCTTACTTATCCACATGGTTATTGATTCTTTCCATCAACTAATTTCAATTATCAAAAAGCTATAATTTTAAAGACAAAAAATTGATTCAATCTATACCATCTATACTAGAAAGTGATAGATCTCTCCTTGTGTCTGAGGGTTACTGACTTATGAATTTCCCTTTCTTAAACTGAGATGTTTCTTACTTGAAACACTAATAACTGTTTTCAGATTGTCTGTGCATGATGAACTTGACCCTCAAATGGGGCCCTTTGTCTTATAGCCAACTTTGGGAACTCCCAGGAGACTGGAGAAGGGCAAACGCAGCTGCCTGCCAAAAACCAAAACAACAACAAAAGAAAATAAATGAATGAATTAAGTTTGATATTTTTCTGGGAAAGTATTGTAAGAACAATCAAATAAAATTTGTAAAATTTATTAATTGTATTAAAAAAAATCATTGCCTATTTCTAAAATATAAGGAATACAAGGGGAAAAATATATAAAAAGGACTAGCACTCATTATGGATTTGTCAATAATAACATCAAACAAGTCTGATTTTCTTAGATGACAGGAAAACAGGCTTTATGCATAAGGGAGAAATAGTAGTAACATTGACATTAGGAAAGCTTTTTACGCTGTCTCAGATTTTCATTATCAAGTTAGTGGGAAGCATATAAGCTGAAATTGCTATTATATGGGTGCCTATTGGGTTGGAAGACTGCATTGAAGTATAATTATCAATGACATGGTGAAATGGGAAAGATGTCTTGTAGGATCTGTCATTTGAGGCTTTCACTGGTGTTCTGAATGATGGATACATATTGTGCACCCAGATAATGTCAAGCTGGGAAGGGTTAAAAACATGCCAGAAAAAAGCATTATAAATGAAAACAAATTTGGCAAATTGAAGGAATAGTCTGAAAAAGTATCATGTGTTTCAGCAGAAAATTGATAAAAATTAAACCTTTTGGAAGCAGAGACCCATGAAGAAGTTTATGGGCAGTTGCTTGGACATTCCTGATTTTCTTTTGAAGATTATTTTACTTTTGAAAATGTATGCTTTGAGCACTTGTTCTTTGATATTACAACCCAAAGTTAGGTGTCTTGTCTCTATTTTTCATATTCTTTGTGACATATTTTTTTACAGCACAATTAATACTATTCTATATGTGGATTGATGATATACATAGGGGCAGAAAGTACTCTAAATGTTTTTAACTTCATTTTAGAGTCATCCATTTGCAATGTCTCAGTCAGAAATTGTGCATTTTTTTTTTCCAGGTAGATAGTTTTCTCTCCAATCTTGCTTGAATGTATTATATAGAATTAATGTAGAAATTTTGAATGGAGAGGAGAAAGCTGAGGTGGAAAGAACTGGAAGGATACAGGAAATTATTCAGCAGTATTAATTCCCAGGATTGTTGCCTGTCTGCCAAAAAAAAAAGAGGGAGAACTAGTTTATCCATTTGGATTAGCTGGTTCTAAGACAACCTATTAATGTTTATCAGTTGACATGCTGCTTTTATGACATTGCAATAACAGAATTAGATTTACTGTGACATTTTAATAATAAGCTGTAAACTCATTTGCACAAAACAATGCCCCTTTCCGCTACTTATAAATGTCATTATTTGATACTACATAATTAATACCTGTTGTGGTTTGAGCCTACTCAGCAGCTAAATGCCACACAGTCGCTCACCCACCCTTCACCCACTTGGGAATGGGGAGGGAATCGGAGGGGCAAAGTGAAACTCGCAGGTTGAGATAAAATCAGTTTAATAATAGTAACAGAATAATACAGTGGCAGCAATATCAACAGGTAATGTACCATACAGCTGGTCACCACCCGCTGACCAACACTTGCCTGCTCCCAGCCAGCAATCCCAAACACAAAGACACCACTGCACCACTCCCACAAGTTGCAGCCTCTCCCAGCCCTCTCCTGCCTTTATATAGTGAGCATAATGTCACATGACATGGAATGTCAGCCAATCCCGGCTCAGCCCTCCAGCTGTGCTCCCCCTGCCCCCGCACACAGGTGTGGGCACTAGGACCTGGGGAGCCCCTGGGGTCTCTGTGCTGCAGCACTCCTCCAGCTACTAAAATGAACAGGAACTCTATTCCAGCCCGAACCAGGACAATACCAAATGAACCACTGCATGCAATGAACAGTGGCTCTTCTTCATTCGTGATATGGTCACATGTTGTTGGAAATAAATGGTGAGCTTAATCCTTTTTTTTTCTTACAGAAAACCAGGTAATTTTAATTTGCTTAATGTGTTCTTTGAAAACATATTATAAATGTTGATCTTCTTTTGAAGTTTAGTTCCTGTCCTGATACTGCAGGAGTTTGCTACTGATTGAGATGAAGAGAAAGGATAGAAAGGATAGTGAACAGCTCTTCTGAGAGGCTCATAGTTTTGATTTACAAAATTGTTCTTTGAAATACTTTTTATATACATGTAGCAATATGAATAACTCATAGATGCTGCAATTAACAGAATAAAGCTGATAAAATAATCAGCAGATAAGGGTACGCATATTCATTCATTCAGAACTTTGAGTAGCTACTCAATGTTATTTCACATGCTCTTAAATTTTTCTTTGATTCATGACAAGTATCCAAGAGCAGTGAAAGAGCATACAGTAAGAAATATTCTGAAATTATGTTTCCCTTCTTTGTATTACTGGAATTGTATTCCTAGTAAAACTTTGATCAGGCTAATGTATACATTCTAAAAAAAAAACTAAAAGCCCCAAACCAAACATGG